AAACAAAACAGAAGGAATAAATGTTAATTTTCTTCTGATAAGTACAGGAATTCATGTTTTAGATGAGATGAAGAATGACATCCTAATCTACCCAATATTAAATAACCAAGCCAAGGATACTATTCACAATGTGAAAAATTAAATGATCAACAGAAGTTTAAATCCTTGTAAATCTTAACAACTACTTTCCTAAAATTCATCAAAAAAATTCCAAAAGAAATATTAAATAAAAACAAGATGACCACACTGTGTCTAGAATGTAAAAAAAATAAAATGTAAGTTTAGTAAGATGTTCTCACAATAAAATCTTTATGAGGAACTAAATAAAAAATAAAACATTTTAAAGTACATCCTGTTACTTAAATACATAAAACATGTCTTTCTTTCAAAGATCTGATATCATAACATCATAGATTCTCATAAAACTGAGTCCCTAACCTGTATTTTTTTCATAATAAATTTGCAATTCTACTTACCTTCAGATCCCATGATGAATGATGAATATCAGGCCCTGTTGACATACGAGGTCCTTGAGAGCTTTTTTCTATTACACCTCTAGGTGTGACCATTTTAATATGAACCACCTGTTTAACATAATACATGAGATAAATTCTAGGCATCTGTGTGTGTGTGTGCATGCACACACATTCATATATCTTTATATAAAACACTACTTTTTAAATACTGCACTAAGTGATAAAGTGATGTACTTTAGAAATGTATTATCTTTTAGAAATTCTTAAACTGAAGATAAATTTCAATATAATCTTAAAGAGATAAAAATCATTCTAAGATTATATACCTCTTGATTTAAGTTGGTTTAAGTATACTCATCTCTTAAGAATGGAAAAACACATAGTGTTAAATCAAATTTAGTCTAGGCTATCCATAAGATCAAAGAACTAAAGAAAGCAAAAAATTAGCAATGATAATACCTTAATAGGTACAGTCTTTCATTTACTTAACAATATTTATGAAGTACATTATCATATCAGGCACCGTACATCTAGATGATAAGAATTTAACAAAATATGTATTCTATCTTCAACTCCATTTAGAAGAAAAAACAGAAAAGAATGAAGATTGTGATTACATCTAAATCAGGAGGACCTTGGGTATATAGACCAATGGTACAGAACTTGCCTATCAAGCCTGTAAACTAGATTCTTAGCCCTGCAAAAACAAATAAATAAATAAAAGTATTTATTATATATTATCATTTATATGTAACATATAAGTTATATGTAATACATATATAGAGCTATAGATATATACCAGGATGAAGAAACACCAGCAGTGACTGAGTTTAAAAGAGGGAGCAAGAGAAATTTGTGATGTGATACACTGCATAGGTGAGAAAGTAGGTATACTGTGGGAGGAGGCTAATTCTAAAAACTAGTTTCTGATATCTGAATAAGAAAAGATAAGTAAAAATCCAACACATTTTAAAATAGATTTTGACAGATAAATAACCACTGTTATCAAAAGATATAAGCAGAAAACATCAACAGGTAATTTTTATAAAAAGAAAAATGCCAATGAGGACATTTTAAAACCTTACATTTACTAGTAGTTAAAGAGTTGTAAGAATTAAAGATCATAAAGTGAATGCTCAACAGTCTCTGGTATATAGTAGGTGCTTCATAAATGTTTCCTTCAACACTTTCAATTTTTGATTTATATAACAAATCACTAGAAAAGTTACCAATGGAACCAATAACACCTAAAACCTAATTGATGTGTGCATAGTTACACTATTATCACACTAACTCCCACCAAACTGGCACAGAATGGTACACACAGTAAACATGACAGGTCATATTATTACTTAATAGAATAATTCAGTCAGGCTCTGTAATTCTACACATAACTTTTTCAGAAAAAATGAATGCAAAATCTCCTAAAGCAAAGGAGTGCAATAATGAGATCACCAAAACAAATACACTAAATCTTAGTAGAGATTAAGACTGAGTTTCCACAAACCTTAAATATAGTTATTTATAATTTCATTAGTTATGAAATATTTTACAAGCTTATATATTAATTATTTTAAAAAGGTTAGTCTTAAATAATGACCATAGCTGTGTCTTTTAATTGTTTCTATTGGGAGATCTGCCATCCAACTTTTAATTTTTAAAGATTTTTAACCATTTTATCTATTTAATTAGCTATTATAAATAACTAGAAAAAAATTTACCAGGTCCTCAATATGCCGTAGATATTCTTCTTCATGCTGATGCCCGAGTAGATATCCATCCTCCCACAGTGCTGAATTCCAAGGAATCTGGTTCATGACCTGTACAATAGCCACTTTCTTTAAGCTGAAAAGCAAAAAATGTACATTTTACTAGTGAAAATGGTCCCGTTCATACAGTACTTGACATATTAACTCCCTGCACTATAAAATTTCCATGTCATTGCTATTTTGAGTCATAAAAACATGTATAAAAAAAGAGGCTGGAGGTGTGGCTCAAGTAGGAGGGGGCCTAGCAAGCGTGAAGCCCTGACTTCAAACCTCAGTACCACCCAAAAAAAAAAAGAAAATACTTTTATCATACTTATCTTTAAAAAAAGAAAAAATTTAAGCTTTTTCCCAGCGTACAACTATAAAACTAAAGTATGGCCCAAAACATAGCTGCATTTTCCAACTGTTCAACAGACAATCTTATTCTTTACAACCTTTTTGTTTTAAAGCCAGCTGTCCCCTCTTGCTTCCCCCCCCCAAAGACAATTTAAATACTTATGGAGATCAGATTATGCTTAAATAACTACCAACTTCACCTAAACACTTTCAATAAATAAAGCACTTAATCTCTTGTTTTCCCTACCCTAATAAATATGCAGCAGACCTGCAGAAAATCTGAGCAAATTGCCTGTACTTAATTCTCTCAAGGAGTAATGTGTTTTAATGTACAGCCATCTGTCCAGATTTGCTGCATGTTATACTGTCATTTACTTGTGATGCAGATCATGCATTCCTGTACATTAAACAGTCACTTGTTTCTCATTTTTCTACATTAGCTTGGCTTCACCATCTGTACAGCACCTGAGGTTGAATGGATGCCCTCTACTGCAACACCACCAAAGCCATTCCACTGAAGTCATTTTAAAGACTCAACAATCTCCAGTCAAATGGTACAGACAGCACCATCTGCATACCCACTGTCTCCTACACTCAAGTCCATCAATCTGTGTTGACCATTTTGATAGTCTTCCAGTAAAGCAACTGCTTCTATTTCACAAGCAAGCCATGCAGAGATGTAGACTTTGTCAGCTATATTTGTACCTGTGTATTTAAGTACAGTATAGAGCTGTAATCCAAAATTTGAAAGCCTATTAGGTAAATATAAATCTGTTAGGGTTTGCACAACAACAGAAATTGTTTAACTTCTCTAACTTTCCATCTTGGAAAACAAGATTTGAAAAATATCAATTGTTGCATAAGTTTTTCATGAACTATTCAATATATGAATACTTAATTTTCAGAGGTTAATAACGACCCACAATCAAGCCAGGTTAAAATATACATTATCAACCTGCATTTCTTCTTTAATTCCATTCTCTCAAACAATCTACATTGACATTATTTTTCTCAAAGACTACTGTTCCTCAATTTTATGAAATTAAGAAAAGACATTCACTGAGTTCTAAGAAATGCTAGAAACTAAATAGTTTTCACGGAGAGGGGAGGAGGTAGGGAAAAGGTGTAAAGAGGTGAATATGTGTACACATGAATGTAAACGGGAAAAGATACCTGTTGAAACTATCTCAAATGGGGTTGGGGGAGGAGAAAGGAGAATGGTGGAGGGCTGAATTCAATTGTAACATATTTGATATATTGTATGAACCTTTTAAATACCACAATGTACCCCCACCCAGCATAACAATAAGTTTTCATATATTCTTATAACAAACAAATCTTCACATAAACTATAGAAACTGATTAAATAGATACTTTAATTATCTCTATCAGTCTATGGAATATTAGATATACTGTTAAATTGCCTCTTATATCTAGTAGGCTACTCCAGTTACAAGTAACTACTGTGTAGCAAGAATTGTTTAAAATAATGAAAATGAGGATTCGAAACAAAAAAAAAAGAAAACCACACAGTTCCTATGCTAAGGGAGCTCTGCTAGCACATCAATTTTAAATCTACTTCCTTGTTAAAAATATAACTTCTACTAGGTAAGTAAAGTAAATATAATGGTTAAAAGCTTGGTTTGGACTTGTCATTTAACCTAGCTAGAAAATCTGCACATTACATTATAACTTACTTCATCCTAACACAAATGAAGACAAATTATTCTCATTTCAAAGATGAAGAAATTGAGGCATAAAGGTTAATAACTTGCCCAAGGTCACATAGCTAAGAGATATATTTGAAGTTTACAGCACCTAACAGCTATTAGAAACAAAACAGATAATAGGAAGTTATTAGAGATGCTGACCATAGAAATAAAGAAATTAAGTCACATGTCCCGAAGTACTAACAAAACAGTCAAAGATTTAATAAACATGAAAAATGCCCAAATCCATAATTGACACATTCGTGACTTCTCTTAAAATTTATGCATTTTAAAATCAATGTAATATTTAAGTTGAAGGAATTAAAATCTGCTACCCAACTACTGTATTTATGTCATTTTAAAACTTCTAGAAGAAAAATAAAGACATTTTAAGCAGGTTATCTCAACTAAAGTAGAAACCGAAGGACATAGAACTTTAATGAAGAACTTCAACTGGATCAAGACAACTACAGAAACTATATTATAGCCTACTGGAGGCAAAAAAGTTCTATATTGTTAGTTAAGGAAATGGGTAGGTAAAATATCAGAAGTTCTTGCTCTAAGAAAATGTCATTTAAATTTCAAGGAAATATGCTTCTTGAATTTTAATTCTAACCTTTAAAAAATAGAAAGTAAACTAGAAATACTACATCAAATACTATAATAAAGGATATAAAATTGGAGACATAAAAAGGCCACTCTGTTATTTAAAAATAAAAAAATGTGTTGATGATTCAGGCATAATTGGTGGAAGTTTTTCATTAAATGTTATACTGAAATTCATTATAAATGATAATAATAAATCCTATCTTGACTTATATAAAACTATGACTTATTGAAGATACTTATGTATTAATTGATTTATTTTTTGGTGGGACTGGGGTTTCAACTCAGGGCTGGTGCTGATAAAGTAGGCACTTGACCACTTGAGCCGTACCTCCAGTCCACTTTGCTCTGGTTATTTGGAGATGGGAGGGTCTCATGAACTATTTGCCAGGGCTGGCTTCGAACTGTGATCTCAGCCTCCCAAGTAGCTAGGCTTATAGGCATGAGCCACTGGCACCCTGCTGTTATTTTAAGACCAATAACAGTATCTCAACACATACGTTTGATCTTATTTTAATGCTCTGCATATTACTGGTTTAAATTAAATAAAAGTTACAGGACTAGAGAGTGGTTCAATCTGTAGCACCTGCTTTGCAAGCATGAAGCCCTGAATTCAAACCCCAGTCCCACCAAAAGATAAAATAAATAAAAGTAATAATTTATGATTTTTTTCAAACACTTTCAAGCAGAATTAGTCACAAGTACACCATCTTCAATCAACATTTCAAGAAACAAGTAAAAAGATAAAAATAATATTGACGATCACAATATGTCTCTATGTCCTATTCATGAAAGAGTCTCTATAACCCCAAGTTAAACAAAGTAGGCTTTCTAATTTTTGTTTATAAAAGCCATGTTACAATCATCCTGACCACATTTGAGGATGTTGAAAGAGCCTTAATTTTAACAATTACCTGCTTAGAATCCATTGAAAAGAATTTAGTCTTCCAAAAAATTCATTAGGATCTCCAAAAAGTGCTATAAAGCATTCTAAGGGTTCACTATTCATGAAATAACTAGATTTATGCATGGAAAAGTTCAATGAATAGCAAATACCCAGCTGATGCAATTTATCACCAAGATCTGAGAATTCTATTCTGTGTTTTTCATTTTGCTCCATTCCTATTGCTTATATCAGTCACCCTCAGCTCTTCCCTAAATTATTGTACGAATTTCTTAAGCAGCTGTTACAAAGCTCATCCATCCTCTACACAATAGTCTCATCTTTCTAAACCCCTAAGGGGGACTTTATAAGGCCCTTTATAAACTGACCTCTTTATGTGTTCCTGGCTTCATCCTTTATCACTACTATACCCACTCCACCCAACATACACCCAAAATACAAACCCCAAGAGCACTTACCATACACTACCATACACCTACACTAGACTTCAGGCATACTCAGCTCTCTGTAGTCCCTCAAAAACAGTATCTACTCTTAAAGTTTCTGCACATGCTTCTCCTTCCTCTGACTGAATTATTTTCCCTATCTTACCTCCTTTCTTGCTAACTGACTCATCCTGAAGTCATTTTAAATGCCACATCCTCTGAGAGACCATCTTTGTCCAATTTCTTCTTACCTGGCCCCATCTGATAATCTATACATCCTGAGTTTAGTCTCCACATAGTAATTCTCACTCTGAATCATCAATTGTCTATGTAATTATCTTTCTGTCCTAATATAAACCATCTGAGGGTAGAAGATGATGCAAAAGGATTAGGGTGTGGTTCAAATGTAGAACCCTTGCCTAGCAAATGGGAAAACACTGAGTTCAATCCACAGTCCCACCAACAAGAAGGGTAGAGGGAAGAGAAGGAGAGGGAGAGAGGGAGTGACAGAGGAAGGGAAGGAGGAAGGAGGGAAGGAAGAAAGGAAAGGAAAGGAAGGAAGGTACTTCATTCAGACAGAAGACAGTTATCTTGAAAACCTTAACTGAGGAAATGACATACCTGTCTTTCTAAGTCTTGTCCTGTTATGCCAGCTTCTACATGAGCTGTCAGATTGTTCTCATCAACCCAGAGAATTCGATTCTGTTGCAAAGGAAGGCAGAAGTCTCATTTCTATGAACTATTAACATCTTCTCAGGAAATATATAAAGCAACAAGTGACAAGATAGTAATTAAGCAAGTAGGGTTTCCGCTCACTACCCACATGAAAAATGAATTCCACTATCCCTTACTATGTAACATGACAGACACAGTGACAACGACAGTATTTTGCAGGGGTTGGTTTAAAACATAGACTCTGTCTTTAAGCAGACATTAATTTGAATTAAGCTCCACCTTTAATGTAGGCAAATAACTGTCTAGGCTAGTGTTTCCAGATAAAACGTAGACAGTAATACATACTGGCAGAGTTGTTACAAGAAATAAATGATACTGCACATAAAAAACTTAGCATATGTGAGATCTGGCATTCTGTAGATACTATTTCACTACTATTAAACATAGCAAACATATCTAACTGAAGAATCAGAAAATGGAATAAAAAAACACCACCTGCTAAAGACATCCAAATATAATAAATGCCATCTCTGCTTTTTAATCTGAAATAGGACCATAATCCCCACATAGAAATCAAAGCATATCCCTGCCTTTCTCAAAATAAGGAACTGAATATTTTCTGGCTCAACTTAGCAAATGTAAGATTGCCAATAAAAAAATGGTTTATGTGAATAACTGTTAGTTGAACTAACTTTTACTGTATACACATACACATAAAAATCTTCAAAATTTTTTTCTGTTACTAAAAGCAGACTTTCCTTCTCTCCAACTGAGCAGATAATATACACAATCTTTCATATGTGGAAGGAAACTTTATATTTTAGAATACTCAATTTCTTGACAATAATGTATGTAAGTCTAGTTCATAATAAAAAAGAACACAATAAATGAAACAAAATTGGCAGTGTCTGCCTAGAGTCCAGATTTGAACACATACAAGAATTGTGCTGCTTAATTCATAGGATTGTAATAAACATTAAAATGTAAATGAGTGTATTTTTTATTTTATATTTATAAAACGCTAAGACAAAAGTAATTTAAATATAATGATGGTATAATCTTGATCCTACAGCAGATAAACAAATATAAACTGTAGAGTAAAAGGAAAATAATTTATTAACCTGATGGTACTCTCATATCAATTCATATGTATTATCTCCCCCAACAGGCAGGCTCTTGAGGCAATTATACACTCATGGTAATATATACCTAGTACTACAAACAGTCTAAAACATCTTTTTTAAGAGGCAGAGAAGAAAAACACCTTCATGGCACACACAGAAAAAAATAAGAAAATGTAGACACTACTCTGTAAATCCAGTATATACCACCAATACCAAATAATAAAACAAAACTTTACAGCCAACAGGCTTTAAGATTACTTTGTGGATTAAAACAGCTCCAATTCCCATATTTTTCTGTACATTCTATTAGAAATACACCGTGCAAAATCATGTACAGATATGAGTGACTGACCGACTTCATTGCAAATCAGTTTATAAGCACCCAACCCATTATAATAGTGAGGCATTTTAAGGCTAAACGTAGTAAATATATGAGGTTTCTCTGCAAAATAACTGGCTGGAAACATAGCATTTAAAATTCTATGAACTCAAAAACTTTTAAGCATCTACTCAGTGTCAAGATTTTTACTTATATTATTTCATTTAATCTTCACAATACCTTCATGATATTGCTATTTCTGTTTTATACATTTGGTAACAGATTTAGAGGCAAATTTGTACATTACAAAGTAAAGAGCCAAAAACCCAAACACATTCCAAAGCCTATTCCATAACAGGCCATTTTCAGACTATCTCCTGAGGAAATTGTGGTTTTCTTAACCTCTGGGATAAGGAGAAAGGTTATTGGAGAACGTTACAGTGCATAATCAGGCAATTACCATATGAACTTGATCAATTTTAGCGTCACTAAAGTGGTACAACCAGCTGTTACACATCACCTCTCCTAAAATTTTATGACATTATATGAAGTACATCACAAAGTCATGGATATGCTAATTACTACAATTTGATCATTATACAAAGGATAGTGTATCAATGTATCATGCTATTGTTTTGATAACCCTATAATATGTACAACTATTGTGTGTCAAGTTAAAATAAAACTAATTTTAGAAAACACATCGCTATCTATAAAGGTATTCTTGCTACTGAAAGAAAACTACGCCTGATCTAACTAGACTATATACAGAGCCAAAAGAGTTAAATAACACCAAAACCACTAGCCGAATTTAAAATACATCATTCCATATTATAAATAACCTAGCTTCTTCAAAAATCGGTAACATTCAAAAGAGGAGGAGGAAGAGGAAGCTTTCGGATAAGTGAGATTTAAGAGAAACAACCAAAAGCTAATGTGGGCCTTTTCTGGATCCCTGTTTGAACAAATGAACTATTATAAAGACATTTCTGAGATACTGGAAAACTGAATGTGGACTGGATATTAAATATCACAAGAATTACTTTTGACTTTGCCAGAGGTGATAATACAGCAGTTATGTGAAAACAAGTCCCTTTTAAAGTGAAAAAATAATTAGGTGTAAAAGTAGCATAATTTCATGATTTGCTTTAAAAATACTAGAAAATAAAAGAAATATTAAACAAGCATGACAAAATGTTAACTATTCAAATCTAGAAAACAGGTATACTTTTATCTCCAATGTTTAAAATACAAATTAAAAAGCTTATGTTGTTTTTATTTAAAGGAGGAATAAGCAGGAATAGTATTAACTATATGAAGATAAGTTCAATTAAACCTTAATACAGTACAATACCCAACTCTGGGACTACAAGAGTCCAAACTTCAAAGAGTAATCCTATCATTAAAATTAGCTCTTTCATTCATCCCCAAGCAAACTGAAACAGCATTAGTAAAAATCTGGGAGGTAAGTAAATTCTGGTTATTCAAATTAATCTTAACTAATATTATCTGCTCTATTTTTAATTACAGAATTCAAATTGTCTAAAGTGTCTATCTTCAAATTCATGCTTCTCAAAATATAAATTTCACACACTAATTAGCATCAAGATATGCAACCTAAGTAAGTGAACTTAGATTTTGAATACCTAAAGTCAAGTCTAAAATACAACAATGAAATTATTTTTCAAATGGACAATAGACCATTTTATAACAACTGAAGCAAAACCACAGACACAATGTTTTAAACAGAAACTGTCTTCAAATATATCTTAAATTATCATATACCATTTGTGAAGTGTCCAAAGAAAATTTTGTTCTTGTCTCATCTGCAGGACACATCAGCCATATGAAACACTTGTTCTCCTGCCAAAATAGAAACAACTTTATGTTAAAAATTTTACTTTAGCTATATTTCTTAGGCAAATCCCTAATACAGAGTACACAGACAGGCCCGCTAGGAAGTGATACCTATTTCTACTTTGTAAATACAATTTGCAAATGCTAACATACTAAAAGCAAACTCACCTGTGTTTTACGCTGAGTGCCAAAATGAAGCAATATAATGGAACTGAAAGCAATGGAATATGGCTCCATCCCTGGTCATGACACTCAAATGAAGCCCCTAGCGATTTGTAGAACTCCAAAACATAATTAGAAAAGTTCTAAGCTAATGATCACTGTGGAGAGATAGCTTAAAAAGAAGATTCGCCCTATACAACTAGAGACACCATTAACTTCTTTCTACCATAATTATGAGATTCACTCATTATTTAAAATAATGTATTATCATACAAAAAGGTTTAATAAATTAGAATAAAAGTTAAAATATCCATATTAGGTGATATTTAAAAAACATTTCACATTTACATATTCTTTGATGAAAAAGTGATTGTAAAAGGAATAAGTAGTATACAGAAGTACTTAAACAATATTCTGGTTTCCTATTAACATTTGTTGTCAAAGGCAAAATGTTTTCTTGATATCAATAAAGAATTATAAAATATTGTAAGTACTCATTTACAGCTGTATCACCCTATGTCAGAACAAATTTTTAATTCATATTTCTATACATTTTGCATAGAAAAAAGCATGTGGAAGTCACCAACCATAAATATAGGAGGTACTGATCTGCACAAACCATGTTAATTTTACAAGGTGAGACCATGAATTGTCAATTACAACATGATACCTGTGATTAATAACTATTATTTGCTTGTCACATCACATGAAATAAAAAAAAATTTCATAATAAGTGGCATTCTAGTGCCTTTTTTGCATGAACTCAACAAATAATATCAGCTAAAGAGGGAATCTGGAGCTCCTGGAATTGCTGAGGTCCACTTCTATTCCATCAGTGACAATTTGATGACTGAAAGTAATTTCTTTTCACTTGTATAAGTTGTTAAAATAATGTACTGGTCAAAAATGTGAGACCCTACTAAAAATGACTACAGCAAAAAGGGCTGAAGGCATGGCCCAAGTGGTAGAGACCCTACCTAGCAAGTGCAAGGCCTGAGTTAAACCCCATACTGCAAAAAAGAAAGCAAAACAATGTTATGTTTTTATTAGAATATAATGATTTTATATTAGAATATAATGATTTGAACATCATGTATTGGTGATCTTTTTCTATGTTACTCCGCTTCACAAAGGTTTATATTGGTTATATTGGTATTTTCCTTTGAAAAAGAAAATTCTGTTCATAAACACACAGGTTGAAAATATTAAAGCAGGAGCATTTTCTTATTTAGGCATTCAATCACAGCTTCAACTAAGATCCATAAAGGAAAAAGCTTGAACTAAGTGTATACCATGGCTAAAGCAGTTTTAAGTAGACCTACTATTACAAAATGGCACAATAAATCAACTGAAAAAATCAAAACATATGTTTGATTTGTTTTCTAAGAGATAACATAAACATTTAAGATACAAGTATTTTAAATAGAACTTACATTATACTAAAATTTGAAAAGCACAATACCTACCACCAATTGGTATGATACAAAGGTTATATTTGCATGCTAGATTCACAATCTTAACTACATCATCATGACATGCTGTTGAAAAAAGAAAAACCTTAGTTAGTCACAAGCATGTGAATAAAATCTCGGTAACTTTATAAAATAAGCGTCTATGAAGTTCTTTAGCATCTAATCTTTGTCTACTTGCTCATTAACACATTATATAGCTCTATTAAAAGAACAGGTTCTTTCAACTTTTCATTTTTAAATAATTTCAAGCTTACAAAAAAGTCATAAAAACAGTATAAAGAATTTTCTTTACTTCACAACCTCAAAATTAACATCTTACATAATTACTTGATTACTTGAATTATCAAAACCAAGCAATTAACACTGACACAAAACAAGTAATCTTTAGACCTCACTTAAAAATCCTGCTAATGCCCCTTTTCTTCACTAGGATCAAATCCAGGATCACACTGATTTTAGATGCCATGTTTCCTTAGTCTTCTTTTTTCTTGAGTCTATCTTTGACTTTTCTTGACAATGACATTTTGAAGAACTTTGGTCAGTTATTTAATAGACTATCCCTCAATCTGGATTTGCATATACTTCCACATGATTAAATGCAGATTATACATTTTGGCAGGAATTCACAGGAATGGTGCTGTGCCTTTCTCAGCATTATAAAGCCACAGACATGTCTTATTTCTAATGTTAACTTTGATCATTGGTTAGCTAGTGTCAGCTTGGTTTCTCCACCTGAGGGATACTGTATTTCCTATTGAAATTAATACATTATCTTTAGACTATGTAATAGGATGTTTCGTATCATACTTTCACTCACATATTTTAGTGCTATTAATGATTCTCCCTCCAACCCCCACTCATACTAGGGAATGAACCCAGGGCCTCACACATGCTAGGCAAGTGCTCTACCACTTGAGCTATACTCCGAACCCTACTGATGATTCTTTTAGTTTTTTGTTTTGTTTTTGTTTCTGCATTATTGGGGTTTGAACTCAGGGTCTTTATTCAGGGCTTGCTAGGCAAATACTCTACCTCTTGAACTACTCCCCAGAGTAGCCCTTTATTCTGTTTTTTAAACAAATGATAAAATCTTATACAAAACAGACTGTCATATGAGTTTCTCTCTACTGTATATAACTGAAGAGTTCTCTTTTATCAGTGTTATAGTTATCTAAGCAGCAAAACCTAACTGTGGAAGATTTTTTAAATGCTCATCATGAGGTGCTAAGAGTCCACTATTTTGTCCTTGGAAATAGGACATTAGTGAACATTTTAAGGAGGACAACAACATATTTTAGAAAGGCCAATCTCCTGATAGAATATGGGACAGCATAAAGGAAAAAGACTTGAGACAAGCAAACAATGTAGCATTCTAATACTGGTTACCAAGAACCTGAAAGAGAACTAAGGATGCTAAGAAAAATACACAAACGAATATACATTTATTAAAGTAAAGACACTATTCCACATTACAAACATTATCAGGTAGCAAAAAGCTAGTAATACATGTAATTTATATCATCTTTTTCCTGCTGTGGATTAAACCCAGGGCCTTGCACATGCTAATATATACTCCTACCAATGAGCTACAACCCTAACTCATTTAAATTTTTAATAAAAATCCATTTTCAGGCTTTTAGATTAAGTTTATAAAACAACGGTTACTATTTGTGATCAAAAATAAGAAATACAATACTGGTTAATTAATAATTAATAAACACCCTAAGATGTCTGTTAAAAAAAAATTTTAAAGGAAAAAAAACTGTTATGAATGTCATCTAATCAAAGTCTTCCTTGACACATGTTATGTAAACAGCATTCCCTATGCCACACCCACCACTTTTCAGTCTGCCTTTTCATGTGCTTTATTTTCCTTTACAGCACTTATCACTATCCAATATATTGTCTCCACACACTAAATCCTATGGCACCTGAAAAAGAGAAATTTTTGTTTTGTCCACGCTTATCTTCAGCACCTAGAATTATATTTCTAAGTCCACTGCTTATCGTCAGTACTTAGCCTGTATTTTTATGAGCCTGAAGTTCTGGTAAGCGGTAGACTAATAGCAATGCATAAATGCTAAATTTAATGAGTAAAGGAAGTTTTTAATGTATTGCTAAAGGAAATTTTAATTTTTACAACCATACTTACCACTGAAAGCAACATTATATGAGTGACTAACCAATTGTCCAAGCTACAGATATTCATACTATAAAAAGGTCCCAGTGGGTTAAAAGAAAACCCAAAAATCTTGCTTTAAGGATCACCCCAAATCAAAGAAGTTACATACATTCAGTCCCTACTCTTAAACAAGCCCTAGATATCTTATTAAAATAGTAAGAATTAAGAGTCATATTAACCAGATTTAAAGACAACTGCAATGGACAGATTTTGTGTATCTCCAAGATGAGATGATGCAATAAAACTGCCTCAAGTTTGTTATGTGTCTCAAAACAGTTGCCTCAAACTGCAACGTTTCCTCAAAATTTGCCTTCCTGTAAAGGAACCTTGGATCAATCACCAACAAGAATTTCCCATTAAAATTAAATAAAGCCCTTAAGGAACTGCTGTGTTTGGAAACGATTTCTAAGAAGTACTTATATCAGCAGACTCAGCAGAATAAAATTTTAACTTGATTCATCCAGGAATTCATTCATACAGATCTTAAAGTATGAAACACAATGGCAAGGAGATTGTTACACAAAAAATTTACCCCTCAAAAGTGTACAGGCTTAAGTATCAACAAATATAAGGTTGAAAACTACTGCAAAAACCCAGATGCACTGACAAGAGACTGAACTGAAAAATTGGGATGGAATAAAGAAAAAAAGGAAGGGCAAAGTTGTGTGGGAACTAGCCAAATGGGAAGGAAGGATTTTACACAGCAAAAAAACTTTGCATAAAACTGATTAACTCCCAGTTTTCTCAATTTATTTTAAGCAACGTTGGGTATGTTAAAGCAAGACACATATTCACTATGGTATTGTCCTGGTGTTAAACATTCAAACAGAAGCAAATACATAGAGGGCACACTTGAAAGACCTTTTGAAGACACAACAAAAGATGTTGATCAAGTTTTCTGTGAGAGCAGAAAATTGATAAATATCTGTTTCACATTTTCCAGTAAAAAATGGAATGAACCTTTCCAAATCTTGAGAGAAGCACCCTATAGTTACTAAAAAACAGACATGCAAAACAAAATATTTCTTCTATTTGAGATACTGTCTTCCTTTTCTTACAATTAAATTGCTGCACTAACAGAGAGACAAAAGAATTATTTCATAGCTATTCCAGATGCATAGGAGACTATGCACCACAAATATCAGGACACTAACTTAATCTGCTACATGTTCTTGGCTTTTCCTCTCAAGAATCTCACCTCTACTCTAGCACCATATTAAAGTATAATTTTCCCATCAGAAAATCCTACAATAGAAAGATCTTATCAAGGACTTGAAAATCCATGAATGAGCCAATTGTTTTTGAACAACACTCTATATACTCTGAAAAGAAGATCCAAAAAGAAAAAGGATCAGAAATCAATAGAACGTTTTAAACACACATCATGACAGCAAAGAACAAAGATATCTCTTATTTTTAAATTAACTGCTACAAGAGATGGGTTTTAAAAATATTTTTTTAAACCTTTATAACACCTAAACCCTTACTAGGAGCAATAATAACAACAAAAGCTCATCTATTTCTATCCAAACAAAATCCAAATAATTCATTTCTCAAACTTATCCATTTCAAAGAACATACAATATACATATATGTGTATTAAACAAGGACTTTCACCACTTAACCATACATTTTAAGCCTACAAGCTAATGTCAACACATTATTACTATTAGTTTAAGTAATCAATCATGTCATTAATAATTCTGTACAACTGAATACATAATTGACTGATAGTAATTTCACTAAGCTTCCAAATTGATCAAAAAGTAGTTTCTACTGAACTTTAAATATATTTCCACTTAAAATGAAGACTTAATTCAACAACAAATAATCTTAAAACCAAATAGTTTCAGAGGATTCCAAGATGGCGACTACAGGGAGGAAGCAGAAAGCGAGCTTCCTACAGTAAATCTTGGAGAGATGCTGGAGTTACACCTTGCAGGAAACCACTAAGAAAAGGCAAAACTCTGACACCTCCACACCCCCAGCCCAACACAGCATCCCCACGGACAACCAGGAGGGCTCCACAACTGCAAGATGCAGCTCTAACTGGCTTGGAGAAGAGACCACCAGGTGAGCTAAGCGGCATGCGGTACTTCCCATAGACAACCATGGGAAAAATCAACATAGCCCCTGAACAGACTGACCCCCCCACCAGGGAAAAAACAAACTGAATAATACACAGCAGCTGAAAAAGAAAAAAAAAAAAAAAGATACATAGACAGAGGGCGGGGTGCCTGGAGCTCCAGACACTGGGGAGGGGCACTCCCTCATGAAACTGTAAATAAACAAGCTGCTGGATGAAGGCAAGTGTGGCAACACCTCCCCCTCTGTGCTTGGAGGGGAAGGCTTATAACAGCAGCTGAAGTGTGCACACTCCACCAGAGAGTGGGGGAGAGGCACGCCCCACAGGAGCTATTAAATAAACAAGCCAGCTGGAGAAGGCAGGAGTTGGCACCACCTCCCCCATTGTGGCGTGGAGAGGGGAAGGCTTCCAACAGTGGATAAAGTTATGTATGCTCCAGCAAAGGTGGGAGTTCCCCACACGAATCTTAAAAAAAAAAAAAAAAAACTGCAATTGCAAAGGCAGGTAGGGCTGTATATTGGAAAAACAAAAGGGGCAATGTGTCCAGGAGAACTCTCAATAAACAAGCCTGCAGCAGCAGATGGCTGACAGTAGGAGGCAGGTAGCCGCAGCCGCAGCAGATAGACATTCACAAAGCTGCCTCCAACTCCCTTTTTTTTTCCCCTCTTTCTTCCTTTGGATAGAAAATGACAGAACTAGACTGGATGCTGAAGGACTGAAACTTTACTGCATTTGAACTTGGGATTTTTTGTTTGTTTTTTTGTTTCTTCCCTTTGATGAGAAATAACTACTTCCCAGACACTGAAAACTCTCCAGACTGGAGGCTGAAGGACTAACACCAAAATTATAAGACTGAAACTTTATTGCATTTGAACTAGGGAATTTTTTTTTTTTGAATCCTCTCTTCTGTCTCCCTACTAATGCTGTTTAGCTTACCGTTGATTACTACACTACTCTCCCTGTTTATTTCTTCGGCTATGTTTTTTGTTTGTTTGATTGTTTGGGGTTTTTTTGTTTGTTTTGTTTTTTCCCTTTTTCTTTACCTTCTTTGCTTTCCCTCTCCTCTCACCCTCCCATTCCCAAGATTATCACCATTGTTATTAATACAAGGCTAGACAATACTAAATTACACACCGTACAAGGGACAGTAAACAATAGCCAGGGATGAATGGGAAGACAGAAAAAATGGAAACCATTTTCCCTCCAATAATAAATTAGTAACAGGCACGAAGGAAATGAAGAAACAGATACAGCAGATCCAAGATTCCAACAAAACGAAGATAAATTATGCCAAGAACCCAGTGAAGCCCACAAGAACATGCCAAAGGACAAATACTGCAAGTATCAATGAGAATTTTATAGACATGATAACTGGATATGGTCAACTCAAAAATGTACAGGAAGACACTCAAAGAAATTCCAAGACAACAAAACATAGATTTGAGAAAGCAACAAGAAGAAATAAAAGAAACCTAGAAGTACTATCTTAAACACCAAAGTGAAACAAAGAACCCAATAAATAAAGAGAATAAATGAACTCAGGA